GACGATGCAACTCCGACTCTGTTTGGGCCTGGAAATTCACAATCAAAACCTGTAAGTATGCTTTATTGGTTGTGAATTGTATTTAAAATAAACACGGCAATGGAACTTCACAGACAAGTTCAAGTGCGGAGTTGTTGTAAATGTTGGCTAACACAGCTAAAGTTATAACTATAATGCTAATGTTACACCTGATGTGAAAGCTACTGAGCAAACATTCAAATTGTTTGGCCAATTTTTATGTAAAATTTAGTTGAAATATGGTGATTTTTGTAGTGGTTTGTGGTAAGATGTGGAACAATGATGTTGTGTTATTGTGGACTTGTGAGTAACTTATACCATCTGCTATTACCGTCGCAGTCTGAAGCGGCTTTGATTTGGATTACACTACCTTGTTTCTTACGACCCGCCCGTCTCTGCTTCTGATTGGCTAGTAGTCCTTACCTGGGAACTGCGCATGTGCAACTCCCAACAAAGATTTTGTACAAGTAAGATGCATCACTCTGTAGCTCAAGAGCGGAGCGTACAACACATAGGGTGAAAAGAGGAGCTGCAGCAATGTGCAGTATGACAAAAATATGGTGTATTTTGAAAATTAAACCTGTTCTGGTACAACCCCTAATTAAGATTTTGAACCTGAAAATGAGCATAATACCACCTCTTTAATTCTCTAATTTTTGTTGGAACCAAAAACAACTACTTCTGCTTTGTCTGTGTTTAACTGGAGAAAGTTCTGGCACATCCAGTCATTTAACAGAGATGCAGTGGCATAGGGAATTAATAGGGCTGTAGGGTGAGAGGGCATGTTGTTTTCCCGCCAAAGTTTTCCTAAAGGTAGCAAGTGTATACAAGAAAGGGCAAGGACTGATCCTTGAGAAACTCCACATGTCATCTTTCTGGGAGACTAAATTGCCAATAGAGACAAAGCAATCATTGTCATGTAGATGTACCTAAACCAGCAAAGTACTGTATCAGATAGCCTGATCCAATTTTCTAGTCTTTCTAATAAAACTGAATAGTCAACAGTATCAAATGCGGCACTTAAATCTAAAAGAACTACAACTGATAAATTACCTGAGTCAGAGTTAAGACGAATGTCATTAACCACTTTGATTAATGCTGTCTCAGTACTGTGGTTGGGGCAAAATCCAGACTGAAAGATATCAAACCAACCATTAGTCTTAGGAAAAAACTATGCTGCTGATAAACAATCTTCTCAGTGACCTAACATACAAACGGCATGTTTGATATTGATCTGTATTGACTACAGAGGAATCTAGATTGCCCTTTTTTAGTACAGGTTTAATAACTGCTGTTTTTAGACCCTGAGGGAAAAGGCCAGATGAAATAGAGTAGTTTTTACCTAAATAATTGGAGCACTATTTGAATAGCACTGTAGGTAAAGGGTCTAGACAGCAAGTAGATGCAGGACAATATTCTCAAATTCAGATATTCATTCATTTCAACTGGATAAAAAACTATGTTTTGTGCATGCTGATTTATAGAGCTACTTATTGTTTTGATTTTGTCTCAACAAAACTCAACAATCTCATTGCATTTACTGGCTGATAACTGGTTCGGGGAAGATGGCACAGGCTGATTAATCAGCCCATGGACAACACAAAATAGAAAATAGAACACGGCATTGCTGGAGTTATTTTTGATCGAATTTAAAAAGTAAAACATCTGCAAAACCCTAGCAAGATGGCTAGAGAAGGTCACTCTTGGTATAATACACCACAGGATCTATTAAGGACAGGCACTCCACCAACAATACAGGCTACTTAATTTAATAGACTATGCCACTATTCATAACCTGGAAACTACAGTTGTTTCTTTAGATGCAGAGAAAGCATTTGATAGGGTAAATAGGAAATTTCTATTCCCTAGTTTACATAAATTTGGATTTGGAAACTCTTTCATTAACTGGATTAAATTCTTATACAGTTCCCAAGAGATTCTGTCAGGACAAATAATCATACTTCTCCAAGCTTTAGTCTTCAGAGGGGTACCAGGCAGGGTTGCCCACTGTCTCCCTCACTATTTTTATAGAGCCATCAGACAAAATAAAAATATTAAAAGGAATTCAAACAGAAAATGTACACTACAAGATGAGCCTTTATGCAGATGATGTATTACTTTTCTTCCTAAACTCACAAACTTCTCTTTCTGAAACAATCACACTTAAAGATAAATTCTCATCCATCTCAGACTACTCCATTAACTGGAGTAAATCCATAGTTTACCTGTAATGTGTGATTTCCAGAGTATATCTACCACACCGCTAAAGTCTGGGAATATTAAATATCTGGGTGTCAATATTTCCTGCAGGCTGTCAGAACTGACATGGCTAAACTACACGCCTCTACTTAAAATCAACAGAGGATGACTCATGGGAAGAGTCTCCACCATAAAAATGATGGTCCTACCTAAATCAATTACCTGTTTTCAATGTTACCCACCCAACCCTCTGCTGTCTGGTTTAAATCAGTGGACTCAAACATCTCTACATTTTTGTGAAAAATAAGAAAGATTGTGGTGGTTTAGAACTGCCAAATTTTTCTAATTACTTCCTGTCCAATAGACCAAAATCTATCTCAAAATGGATGAATCAAAGCCCCCCGGACCACTCATGGATGGGCATAGAACAAACATTCTGTAAAGAAATAAAAATTTCTGATGTGCCATTCATCAGTTCCAGCATCAAACCTCATACCTGCTTTAAAAGCATTAATATAAGCAGCCTGGTGGGAATTTCTCAAAATATCTAGGTCTTCAACTATCCCATGCAGACTTACTCCAATCTGGAATAATCCTGACATCCTGCAAAACAAGATAACACTAAATTCCCCAGTGTGGTATGATAAAAGGGATAAGACATCTAGAGCATGTAATGCAGGGCAGTAACTTTATTCCATTCCAGGATCTAGTGGCACAATATGGAATAAGCAATAATACATTTTTGAATATCAACAGTTTAAATCCATAATGCAGGCAAGATTTAAGGATAACATAATGGACTGAGATCTACCTTCAATGATAACAGACTTTCTTAAACTCCTGCCCCCAAAACTATTATCAAAAATAAATATGTTACTGTTGAAAACAGACGGTTCAATCTTTCTCCCATTCTCAAAGTGGGAGACCGATCTATCCATTAGTCCAGACCAAAACTTCTGAATGCAGATATGTTTAAATACATTTAAAGCTACAAATCCCAATCTACAACTTATAGTATAAAACTCTCCATAGAACATACTATACAGGACAAAGGATGTTCAGAATGGGTCTTATGCAGTCAAACATCTGCCGGAACTGCTCAGGTAACATATCTGATAGTTACATGCATGCTATGTGACAATGTTCACCTGTTCAAAAGTTCTGGCAGAAGACACATGTGAAAACCTATCAATATGGCAAAGGTACCCGGCCCATTTTCCCCATCGCTCTGCGTGCTGGGGGACCAAAGTGACATTGGTATAGAAGTTGACACATCATACATGCTTCTCACTGCCTTATCCATCGCCAAGAAAACTATGTGGTGCCAGGGCCGTCTGGGGCATGCGCGTGACGGGAGGACCGGTGTTTTCCCTGTATTCGGTGCGCCACCACTGCGGAGTGGATCTTTTGGATTTTGGTGCTCTGATTGGATGCTTGGTGGTTGTCCGGAGATCCTGTGTGGGGGAGGATTGTGCGTTGGGGTGCATCGAGGGTTGTTTTTTGGTCGCGTCGCAGCCCTCTGGATCGTGGTCGGGTCGAGTCATAGGGTGCCGTGAGATTCACACCCCTAGGTAGGTCCTAGAGGCTGTGTGCATCTGGTGGCCTCCTGGGGCTGAGCGCCTGTTGCTGCTGTCGCGGGGTGACTGCTGTCTCTTTTCTTTGGGGACAGTGGGTGTGTGTGTGAAGGGTGCTTTGCTGCTGGGGAGGGACGGACTTGGGGTTGGTGGGCTTCTGGCCTGGGCGGCCTTGCTTCCTGGGTGTGGGTGGGGCTGTGGGTCTGGGCCCTAGGGGCTATTGGGCCGTTCTGGGGGGGGGGGGGGGGGGGGGGGGCTTGTGCCTGCTCCGATAGGGGAAGGGGAGATGGGGTGGTGGTGAGGCTTTCGGGGGGGGGGGTTGGTGGGCTGCGGGTCGGGGCTGTGCTGAGCTGCCTCGGGGATGTGTGTGGGCCTGTGGTTCGGGGGTTTGGATCTCTGGATCTGGGGCGGGTCTGTGCGCTGGGGAGGAGCTCTTGCTCCAAACCCTGGGCTTGGAGGGACCTGGCATCCTCTTGCCTAGGGGGGTGGGGGACAGGGCTGAATGCTGGACCATTCTAGCCTCCCTATGACCTCTTTCACCTTCCCCCCTTCGATCATGTCTCACTACATACAGTTCTAGGACTCTGGGGGGCAGGCAGGCTGCAGGGCGTTTGGTGGGTGGGTCTGCTTTATTGCATTCATGCCAGGTGTTGCTCTGGATTTTATTTCAAAGTCATTTTGAAGTGTCAGAATCTCAATTCTCCACAGCAGAGCTGTCCAGGTGGAACAGTAATACTACTTTGGAGGCAGTGCAATCTACATCTATCAATACCTGTACCAAATGGAAAATACAGATAGCTAGCAATAGGCTCAACAGATGCAAAGTCAGTAAATCGCTTCTCAAACTCTGATAAGATACTTTGAACTTGCTCAAGATCACTAAGTCAAAGTACAGCTTCACAATGACAGATGACCACCTTGTGGCCTGCCTGAGGTTTGCAACCAGCTCCTTTTGGCCTGACTATGAGAAACTAGTTGCCTACTCCCAGTGCCAGCGGTCCCACTAAGATACAACTCAGAGAACTACATTACATTTATTCATTTGGCTGAGCAGATTCATTTATTATTAATTTATTTTTTCATCTGGATTATTTTCTGTTCATTGTGTGCATATTAAATAAAACTGGTGGATCTTGATTCAAATAAGGTTGGGCACCCCTGCTGTAGATGATGGCGTGTGCGTGTGTGAGAGAGAGTCTACATGCTTACCTGTAGCCAGTGCTTCCTCTCTGCTGTTGTCCTCTTCAGCAGGCTGTCGGATGTTCCAAGATGTTAGAGGAAGCATCTCTATGTCCTGCAGACTGCTGAGCTTCAACATGTCCATATGGCTGCTTCTGCTCTTATATCTGGGAATGAAGCAGCTTTTACCCCATTTAAACACGTCTTTGATGATTTCCTCAGTGCGCACCTCATCATCCATGTTGAGAAACACTGCAATCCGCTTACAGGACGCATACTTGGGGTGTCTGAAGAGCTAAAACAAATGCATACATAATCAGAGGCCAGAAGCAGCTGTAAAAAAAGGGCTGAATGATATGCAAAAAAAAAAACAATAAAGGAAAATCACATTGTAATTATTTTGGTAGATATTGCAATTGCGATATGAATCGTGTTATTAGTGGGAATTGTAATTTTGCATGTGATTTTTGCTGCTGTGCCGTATAGAGGAATTATTGGGTCAGAAATAAAGATAATTACGGCATTTGATATTCAGAATTTCACACTTTTGATTTAAGGCTTTCATTAAGTGGAAGTTATGGCTTTATACATTATATTCCTCCCTCCAACCCTGCTCAGTTGCTCTGTTTGGCTTCATTGCAGTGTGCACTTCGGCAGTCACTTCCCTTGATGTCCATAAGGTGCCTCTGCACCCCTGCCCTTTCAAACCCTATCAAGCCTTTGGGTCAAGCCTCCTCATTTGCATACAATCCCCAATCCGTAATCCTAAATTCCCAATGCCAAATCCTATATGGCCTTTCTTAAATCCTAAATGCCAAATGCCCAATCATAAATCCTAAAATAAAGAGCGCAGATTCAAGTAGGCTAGTGGGTAAATGTTAAAATAAACGTAGAAAATTAAGTAGAATTAAAATGCTTAAATAATACATAACCTAAGCTACTAGAAATAGAAATTGATACACTGAATTTATATAAATAAATTGTTTTTACAGGCTGATGGTGCATAAGATGAGGTTCTCTCACATTTACTACGGTTATAATAAAAATATGCCTAATAATTACAATATGTCTAATAATAATAAATATAAAGCATTGGGCCCAGTTGGCAACAGCTGACCTGGTCCCGAGATGGGCTGACCAACCCAACAAGAGGTTAAGCTACTTAAATTGGGAACTTCAGTCAATATTAAACACCTCATCAAAGAAAGTGCAACACAAGCTGATTGTCAGTAAAGTTTTGTCAGAACAGAAAACCCCAATGGACCGTAGGACGGTGCTGAAATTAAACTACCTCTTTTCGAAAGGTTTAAAAATTCGGCTGCTGAAGCTGCAGCTGAGGACAGAACAGCCTAGTGCCGCAGAGGTAAGAAGAAAACATGGAAAATACAGGTAGCTGAAATTATTTTCATGTTACTTCTGCCATTTACCAGACTTGTTTTTATTCATGTGTCCAATGTTGAGAGCAGTGTGCGAGAAAAGATTTTGCTGCTATGCTTAAATCCTATACTGTGTTCATTAACTAGGATGTTTCTGGAATCAGTACAGTCACAGGCCCCAGGGCCCCGTTTGAGAAAGCGTAAATTCTTTGTATGTGAAAATTCTGAGTATGTTAAACCTGAGATGAGGGAAACACAGAGCGAGATCAGATAATCCCTAGATTAGTAACTCTGGCAACTGATGCTGTGAAGGTTCACAGGTTCACAGGATGAGTTGGAAAACCGTCAGTTTCTCTCTGACTCCTCCCCTCCTGCGGAGCCTGAGGTGGCTGTCTGACACGCCGTTTCATTTCCTCATTCATTCTGTCGATATCAAAGCACATATCTGAACGCATTTACATCTTTAAAAACTTTAAATCTCAGTTAGATCGGCTATTAGTTTTTTACCCAAACATGATCTTGAACATGACGCTTTTATGATCAATCTGTCATCGATGTCGGACAGATCTTCGCACATCGTGGATAAAATCTGTCCATCTTTAACGCTGTGACTCTGTAGACAGTCGCACTGAAAACACTTACTGTGAGCTACATTACTGCAGTAATCACTGTTTAATATGCAGGCTAACCTATAAAACTGATCAATGAACAGTAATCTTTCATATTGTAGTCACACTGATTGAAACATTCGTAATTATCATGTGTTTTGACAGCATTAATAAAATACAAAATGAGCAAGATTTTATTAATTTAAAATAGACGTCTAAAACTTTTAAAAACCTATTGACACATTTTCCACTGCAAAAAATAATTAATAGGCTAACTTGCTGGGTGTGACTGTGACTTTACAATCACAGGTTCACGAGTAAACTGTGTCATATATTTGATCTATAGCCTACCTATTATATAATCAGGTAGCCGATTACCACCGGCATTTTATCCCATCGGGTTACAGCCTAATAAATATAGCCTTCCTATTTAAAAAGAATGTAATGGGCTGTTGCACTTTATCATTCATTAAGGAAATTCCAGTCTGGTAAATGATGAATGAGCAACGCTGGATAGTAGCCTAAAATGTTAACGCACTGATCCTCCACTCCTTTGTTTTAGAGCCAATCAGGGTCCGCGTTGGCGCGCATTCATATTTCTAGCTCCACCCGATTAAAATAGAGGCTCTGCCTTTATTTACCCGTTGTCATGGTGAATCGTAGTATCGCTCCACTGATGATGGATTTTTTTCATCCCCATGCACACGCTTCAATCAGGCTCAACATACTCAGAGTTGATTGAACTGATTGTGATCAGCCATTCTGGAACCGAAAATTCAGAGTTTCCCACCTCAGGCTAAGTCAACCCAGAGCTCAGGGACAAACTCAGAGTTTGTTAAGCCTGCTTTCTGAAACAGGGCCCAGATCTTCTAGTAAGGATGCTACTGTAGGCCTAGCAGAGGCAGGAGTGTGGTAGTTGTAGAAAACAGTGACACACAAATGTTGGGTTTGTAATTAACTCTACAGTAGAGAATGACAAACTGCTTAGACAGACAGCACACAGATGCCATACCATACTCAGATGGACAGCCATTATTTTAACGATATGTATAAACTTGTTAAACGTGTGCACTTATGTGCCAGTAGGGCTGGGCGATATGGCCAAAGATTTTATCGCGATAAAAAATTTCAAAGCATTCAATCGATAATTATCACGATTAATGTCAAATCATTATTTCTTTCAAGTTAAAAGGGTGATTTTTGCTTTTTGTAGAAACCAGATGGTTAATTGTGGTTTTAAACTGTTCTTTATGATCAGAACATGACAAAAACTTGCCAAACATTGGATCACTTAACAAATCTGAGGAAGAACATTCGAAACAATTAAGACAAAATCTTTTCTTTATACGCTTGAGTAAAAATAAGTAAAATCTTTTTTCAATCCCTTTTCCTCAATAAAATAAACATCTTAATAGAAAAATGTAGTGCTAATTTGTTCATGATTCAAATGAATAAAATCTAACTTTTTAGTGTTGATATATTGAACATTTGTTATATTGTTATAGGTTGAAAATTGTATTGCAATAATTATTGATTTATTGCCCAGCCCTATGTGCTAGTCACATACATTAAATGTTACATATGGTAGGCCTACTGTTTATATTATTTCACCATCTGTACACAAATGTAGCCTAAGTAGTCAATGTGTGTTCGTGAGTGGGGATGCGTGTGGCTACAGTGCCAGGACTGAATTTTTGTTCCAGTCTGCCCCTGGGTGGGCGACCTGCCCCTATTCATAAAACAATATTTCAGGGTATTTCTGCGATAATGAAATTCTTGACACTGCCTTGTTGTTTCTGTGTAAATACAGAGTAACAAGTGGAGAACATTCAATATTTTTATACCTGCCTGCATTTCTTTCATCTTGTATAATTAAAAGAATGACAATAAATCATACATAACTCTATTACTTGAGAACAGTAAGGTTGTTTTCTATTCCAGTGTACCACTTCTTAGCTGATGCAGTGCTGAATTAGCGTAGAATAGACCCGTTAAGTCATACAATGAAGTAGAAGACATGCATAATAAATCCTTGTTTATGTTTTTATTGCATCCATCCATTAATATCCATTAATATTATATTTTTGGTAGCACATCACAGTTGAGAAAAACACCGTAATCCCAACACCGTCAACTATTCAGCTCTGTTGATCAGCACTGTACCCCGTACGTACCCAGTATTTTCTGTATCAGTAATACTTACAAGACAGCAAACAAAATGAACACACAATCACAGCTGTATCTCTTTTTACAGCATAACATTTCATTCAGCTCCTCTAATTTGATGTGACTACTTTTTTGGCCTGTGTCTCGCTAGCGCAGCGCCATCTAGTGGCGGTTATCAAAAAACCCCAACGTTTTGTCTCTGCTGCCAATGACGACATCTACATAGACAGGCATGCTTTGCGGGCAATCGACTCTGCGCAACACCGACTCCACTGGAACCAAATGTCTTGGCCAGGGCCGTTTCTTGGCATGTCCTGAATAAAGGCAGCCCACACCAATTAGTGGCGATAAGGAGCATGTTGAGTGTCAGTAGGCCAAGCTCCATTTAAAAAACCGCCATATTAAGTATGATTTTGATTATCAGCAGTTATGTAACTACTAGGGAATAACTTTAAATTTTGGTAAGGATAGTTGGACAAACGTATCTATTCGGCATTGTCTATAAACACCAAAATCACTTTATTTAAATAAACGTCCAACTTTCAGTGCTTCCCGATACGTTATTGGAAGACCGCAGGAAAGCAAACTTTATCTAACTTAAGTAAGAGCTTCATGCAGCACTAGGTGTACGCCGACTTATCAAACTTAACCTATGAATTTATAAAAAGTATTTTGTCACATTCAAATGTGTCTTTAACCATATCCAAGGCAGGGAACTGTAAAACGTTATATTGGAATTTGGCGTTCTATTTGGAAACGTGGCGGTAGGAACAAAAATCTATGTTTTTTGCATAACATCGGCAAAGCTAGCAAAGGCAACAGCCTACTCTGTACAAGTAATTGTTTCAAAATCTTCAAACTGGCTTTATCTTCTCCTTACCTTCTGTGAAATGACTAGAGACTGTCGTTGTTTCTCCTCGTCACTCAGTGCAGCAACCCGTCGCTTTATTTCTTTCCTCAAAGCTGTCTTTGCTGTACGCAAGGCTGCCATTCTGCCTTTAAAAACTTTGAATCAAGCTAACGTTGTCATCTGATTTAAGTTACCGAGCTCTGTGGCGTGTGTTGTGCTGGTTGTCCGTAGGCTAACTTACTGTGGAAGAAGCGATTTCGACTCTAATGTTATAGCGTTTTGAGGGTTTTTATGTCATCATGCAACTTTCCAGGAGCTAAACATTAACACGTAAGTTATGTCAGCACATGAAAGGTGTTGACATCGATACAAAAAAAAAAAGCCAGCGGTTATTCTTCTTCTTCTCTGGGTTTTATGGCGGGTCGCAACCAACATGTTCAGATGCATACCGCCACCTACTGTACCGGAGTGTGTAATATCAAGGTTTACTTCAGGGGGTTCAGTGCACCAAAAGGTAAATAAATAAATAGAAAACAAAACTCAAAACAAAACAAACAAAATTAAATCAAACAAACAAACAAAACAAAAGGCTATATGTTATGATCTAATCCTGTAGATTTGAGAAAATTAAAGAGAGCTTTGCAGCACTCCTTTGTTTCCTCACTCATCCCTAAAATCCCTTCTAAATTCCATCCCCGTCCTTATTCATATGTCTTGTCACGTAAGATGTTTCTCTCAGAATTGTATTTATTACACTTCATGATGACATGCTCGACATTTTCAGGAACATTACAAACTACATATTTATCAGACACACATTTTGCCATTAAATAAAGCGTTGATTTTAACCCAGTATGTCCAAACCTTAATCTTGAAAAAGCCACTACATCTCTTCTACATTTCCCTTTGAAACCCTTCACCTTAATTGATTTCTGTATGCTGTAATAGTGTCTCCCTTTAGTGTCTGTGTCCCACTTTATCTGCCATACGTCACTCACTGCTGTTCTAATTAATGATTTGGCCTCTCCTTTTCCAAAGGGAACTTGCATTATTTCATCATTTTTTAATTTCCACGCTGTCTTTGCAGTCTCATCTGCTTTCTCATTCCCATGAACACCAACATGAGCAGGGACCCAAACAAATTGCACATCAACTCCAGCTCTTTGTATTCTCAGCATTATTGTACATATTTCAATCAACAGATCATCTCTTACTGTCTTTTTGGAATTCAAACTATACAGGGCTGCAGTGGAGTCTGAACAAATGTCAACTCTCTCAGGCCTCACCTCTTCTATCCACTGTAACCCTAAAATAATAGCAACCATTTCTGCTGTATATACAGATAAATTATCATTAATTCTTTAACTACATCAAACTCAGGTGTGTATGCTCCTGATCCTACATGTTCAGTCCCTGGATCTTTTGATCCATCAGTAAATAATAGCATATAATTATAATAATTCCTTTTCACATAATCTTGAACCAAATATCCAATATTATCCACATTACTTTCACTCCATTCTTTCTTCTTCTCTAGAAGCTTCAAGTCCACAAGAGCAGGTCTAGACCGTACTCTATGATGCTATTTACAGAAGCCCAACAGTTCCCACCAAGAGCAGCACTAGGCGACAGAGGCAAGGAAAAACTTCCTTTTAAGATGCAGAAACCTCGAGCAGAACCATGGCTCAGGGTGGGCGGCCATCTGCCTCGACCGGTTGGGGGGAGAGGGGGGGCAAGAGAGGAACAGAGAAAGAGTGAGAGGGATGGAAGGAGAGAGAGAGGGGAGGGAGGCACCCTACAAGTGCATGGAGGACTCATCGTTAACATGTACAAACTGAAATCGATCTGATAAATAGGACTTAAACCAGCTTAGAGCGGTTCCTTTAATGCCAATGAAATGTTCCAGTCTCTGCAATAGGATCTCATGGTCAATGGTATCAAATGCAGCACTAAGATCTAATAAAACCAGTACAGAGACAAGTCCTTTGTCCAGTCCAATGTGGTGGCAGCTTTACTTTCAAGCGATCGCTGTCATCACATAACCAGAAAACGTCTGCCATTGTATACGTGCCTCCACCTAGGAACGGTATGGGGATGTCAGCATCACTCTGATTTCGCTGAACTCTAAATGGAGCATAATCTGTCACCACCTGTTGGCATTGAAACTTAGCTTTAGCAGTTGTATCGCATTTATCGTGTGCAAGTACTGATCTGCCATTCTCTACTTTTCGCTTGCGGTGACATTGTACTTTAGCGTCTGGTCCGTTAACCATCATAGTCTTAGTATCTACTATGCAAAATGGGAATACTGTGCTTTCATTTCTGACGGCCGTCTGTGGTACCCAATGTTCCAATAAAGGGTCCATGTAGGATGGACAATTAGTTCTATTCTGTGACCATCCATCAAGTTTCTTTGCCATCATTCTTAGCATGCAATAAGCAAAACAATCATTACGGTGTTGGCACGCATCAAAACTTATGGGCAATATTTGAGGGACTCTCCTGCCATTGTAACAGGCTATGCAGGACTGAGAGCTAACCTGCTGAGCAGAATATTGTAGCCATTGACGAAACATATTTTCTCCCTGTATCATGGGTTTTACTCTCGGTGTGGTTCTAGTCTGTTGTATACTGGACTTGGTCTTCTGTAATACCCTGGGTTGTCGTCTGTTAGGCCTCAACGTTGCTTTTGGCTGATCATCTGTCAGTCCCCTTCGTTGCTGGCGTGGCTGGGACTTAATCAGCTTTCGGGCTAGTTGCCTATCTACAGTTGTTCCTGTTACTTCATCTGTACACCTGTTGGAACTACAGCTTGCCGTTATCGCCACCACTCCTTCAGCTTCGCACTGTTTATTAGCTGGCTGGTTTTCTAATATGTGACCTCCTGGTCCTTGAGTCAGAATCTTTTTTAGCGTGGTTGTTCTTACATAAGTCAAATTTAGTTTGTCACTTTTTGGCCATTTACCTTCCTGCACCGCTACTGTTGCTACTGCTAGTGCACATTCAATCATCTGTCCCTGTCTCGGGGGACCGTTCTCTTTCTGAGGAATCATATCTGGAATCTGACATGCTAGTAGCACTAGGACTGCTGTCACTGCTATCCACATCACCAGCTGTCTGTCCTGGAGTTTCTGTCTGTCCCTCTTCTGGGTCTGTTTCTTCGGGTTCTGTTTCTGATCTCGCATAGGGACTGTCTCGCTCTGAACCTGATTCTCCTTCTGCTCCTGTTTCATGTCCTGTTCTGGGCCGCTTTCTGTCGGACTTGCGTATGTACCCGAACCTGTACATGACCTTGGGGTTGCTCTTGTACTGGAACCTGAATCTGACCCTGGTCCTGACTCTGTGATTGGGCTTGGTGTTGGTCTTGGGATTGTGTCTGCGTAGGGACTTGGTAATAAGCTTGGCTGGGTTTCTGCAGTTCCTTGTTCTGCTCTATCTCCTTCTGAACCTGAGTCACCTGATTCTTCTGATTCATGGATGTCTCTATCTGATCCTGACTGTCCTGCTGAATCAAGGGGTGTACTATCTGCATCTGTGACATCTTCTCTTGGAGGTAAGGATCCACTACTGGTTGCGCTGTCACTGGTTCGTCTAATGCTGGTCCGTCTGGCGGCCAGTCTGTCGGATCGTCTCTCCCCCTGCAGGGCGGGCTCACCGCTCCTTTGTCTGTCTCCCTCTGGGCTCTGGGATCGTCTAGCTCCCTGCGGGGCGGTGTCACCGTCCCCATCGGATCCCGTGTGCCTTCCTCCTCTGACTGCCTCAGTTGCTCCTTCTGGCTCATTTGCTCTGCAGCAGTGGTTTAGATGGAACCAAACGTTCTTACCTTCTACTTTTAAGGCTGATGGTGTGGCAAGGACAACTTTAAATGGGCCTTCTCGTCTGGGTTGGTTCCACTTTCTTTTGAACACCTTGACGTACACCCACTCACCAGGGCGTATTGTTTGTTGGCGCTCTGGTATGGCAGCGTCTCTTTCCTCAGTGGCTCCTTTGACCTGTTGGAAGATAGTTCTGTGGATTCTAGTTAAATGCTGGACATAACTTGAAAACTCATTTTCTAACTGTTCAAGAGATGGCCCTTCATATGGACCTCTCAAGTATGGGACAGGCATTGGCCTCCCAGTGCACATTTCATGCGGTGTTAGATGCGTTATTCTGTTAGTTTGCGATCTCATTGCCATTAGTGCTAGCGGAAGAGCATCTACCCATTTTAACTTACCTCTGCTGTCCTCTATTATCTTAGCTAGTTTTGCTTTCAAAGTTCCGTTAGCTCGTTCCACTGTCCCTTGTGATTGTGGATGATATACACACCCAAATCTTTGTTTAATGCCCAACATTTGGAGCATTGTCTTTATGACCTGTGCTACGAAGTGTGGTCCGTTGTCTGAACTGATCTTGTCTGGTAAGCCGAATCGTGGAAAAACTTCCCTGCATAAGAACTTTGCCACTGACTTATAGTCCGGGCTGGCGGTTGGTGTTGCTTCAATCCATCTACTGAATCTGTCAACCACTACTAGGATATACCTCATTCTGTTTACCCTCTCTGTCATGTCTACATAGTCTATTATAAGATGTCTAAACGGACCATCTGGCGCTGGTATGTGAGCCAGAGGGGCTGAGAATGACTTTCTTGTGTTGAAAAGAGCGCAACCCTGACATTCGTTCAATGTTCTATCTACGGTGGCTGCCAGATAAGGTGACCACCATACTGCCTGTATGCGCCTAAGTACCTGTCCCCTGGAACAATGATCTGGTCCGTGAGCGTTCCTTATAGCAAAGCGTGTTAAACAAATAGGCAGCACAAAATGGCCATGTGGACCCCTCCATAATCCTTTCTGGGGTCCATCCTCAGTTACTTGTCTGGCCCCTTTCTTTAGCCACATGGACTTCTCATACACGTCAGCTGCTTCTTGTGCTGCAATGAGAGATGACAAATTTGTAAGTGGTTCACAATCCTCAACTGCTACCATTGGACCCATAACTTCTCCTACTGCGGCTCGTTTAGCAGCTTCATCTGCCTGGTTGTTACCTCGAGCTATCAGAGTGTCTGTTTTTTGATGTGCTGGACACTTTATAATTGCTACTGCGGTTGGTTCATGGATTGCTTCTAATAATGCAGAGACGGCTTCTCCATGTATCACCGGAGTTCCATCTGCTCTGCAGAACCCTCTCTGTTTCCAAGTGTTGCCATGTACATGACACACTCCATATGCATAAGCTGAGTCTGTGTATACATTCAACGCTTTCCCTTTGCCAGCTTACAGGCTGCTGTTAGAGCCTTGATTTCTGCTAACTGTGCTGAACATGGTTGAGGTACACTGGTGGTTTGAACGTCTGTAAGGTATTATCTTTGTTTAGCTGTACCACTGCATA